TTAATATTTTCTCTCTAAAAACGCATATTTTAAAATTATAGATCCCCTATCATGCTACTGTCGATATTACGGACGTCGCCATCTTTTTCTTTCTCTGTCCGTTGTTCGCAATGTCTACAAACGATCGGCTATTAATGAACGCACTGTACTCTATCACGTGACGCAAGGTATAGTTGTCCGGAAGCGCGTCAGAGCTGTAGTCACGTGACCACCTGGCTCCGTCGTCACCGCTCACGTGACTGGATGACGTTAACCGAGGTCACGTGACACGAATTGTAAGCGTCCGCCGTCCAACGTGCTACTCCGCGATGTGAACAAGGTTAAGCAATGGCGGCCTCCACCGTGCAAAGTCGGTAAGTAATCCGATGCGTTTTCGCTTATAGCTCTTAATATACGCGTCTCCCCCAAATAATTCTAATTGTTTAGGACACGTCTATTAGAGAGGTGTCTAAAGAGAGCAAAATTAGAAAAAACGGGCCCATTCAGTAAATATCAACTATTACCCAAACACAATATAAGGATCAATAATGATGCAGGAGAGTAACAGAATTTCCAATAATACTATCAACACCTGATTATTATCATTTAAATACACAATTATCGTAGAAAAAATCAAATCGATTACACTCATTCGGTCTAAAAGTAATTTGTTGTTTACAAAACACTTCCAAATTCTCTTCCATTTGATCCATTTTTGGTAGTCGATGGGAAAGGAAAGCAAAGCTGAAGCAATAATTCTTTTTTAATTATGTACAGTACATAGTATATAATATTGTCGAATTATGTACAGTTCATACTATATGTAATACTGTACTGTACTGTATAAATTGTGGAGCCGGGAATAATGCGTACGGCAATCGTTCCGACGATCGCTATGTGCCTGCCGCCTTCAGTCGATGGTGGGTATCACGGTAAAAGTGCGAGGCGAGGAGATGGTCGTCGCCGTCTGTTGGTTTCTGGGCACTTGTGCAGTTTAGGGGGTACGGCTGTTTGAAAGGTTTTCTTCCATAAAATTAATCGATTCTAGACTAATTTGACTCGAATATGTTTTATATATTTTATATGGGAATAACCCATATAAAATAGGTTATAAACAAAAAATTGTCGGAATATTTACCGAGTGTACTTTGTTCGAAGACGCCATTGCTTAAGCTTGTTTTCGTTGTGGAGCGGCACATCGGTGTACGAAGCTGTCATGTGACATTTGTCGGTACTATTCGGTCACATGAGTATTCATCTCCGACGTGTTTCCTGATAACTATTCTTTCTGCTAAACTTTGGAGACATCACGTGATAGATCATAATATACTATAGTATTTTTATTGTAATTAGAAATTACTTACTACAGTATTATTATTGACTATATGAAGCAACAAAGGTAAAACGCTCGCTAACGACAATAATTTTATCATGATATATATTATGATAATAAATATTAGTCAGATGCAACATAAGACGTCTAATGTCTTGATGTAAATAAATATAATTCAATTTTGTTTGGCATGAAAGAGATTAACCATTTAAAAGCAGAGCAGAATTATTAGTTGTATACAGTATTGCATTGTCATACGTTATATGTTGATTTTAATCCATATTTAAAATGGAATGATGTTTTAATATTTCTATTAATGATGTCTCCAAACTTCAGCGAATTATTCGCAAAAAGAATACAGTAGTTATCAGGAAACACGTCGGAGATGAGTACTCACGTGACCGAATAGCACCGACAATGTCACATGATAGCTTCATACACCGATGTGCCGCTCCGCGACGAAAACAAGCTTAAGCAATGGTGTCTTCGAACGTGCCTCATTGGCCAACAAGAAAGCCCCCGGGATCGATAACATATCTGCGGAATCGATTAAACACGCCTACCAGGAGATCCCGATAGCCTTCGTCTTGCTTTTCAACGCCTGCCTCACCCAGGGCTATTTTCCACGTAGTTGGAAGACTGCCAACATCAAATTTATCCCGAAAATCAGCACGCCAACCAAGGAAAGTGATTACCGGCCAATCAGTCTACTCCCTTCTCTAGGCAAAGTCCTGGATGGCCTGATTATTGGCCGCATTAATTGGCATCTTTCCAGGAATAAAGCCCTCAATGCCAACCAATATGGGTTCAGGGCTGGCTCATCAACGATTAAGGCAATCAATAATGTTGTGCAATTCATAAGAAACGCTTGGGCTCTGGACAAGCATGCTTTAATTGTAAGCATAGACTTTAAAAAAGCGTTCGACCACCTCTGGTGGCCGGCAATCCTGAAGACTCTAAAGGACACTAACTGCCCAAGCAATATTTACGCTCTCCTGGAAAACTACCTTACCGACAGGCAAGTTGGCTTTTTCACCGACGGGCTAAACATAATCAAAAATGTTAATCGTGGCTGCCCCCAGGGCTCCCGGTGTGGTCCGGGGCTCTGGAATGTGGTATACGACACTCTCCTTAACTCCATCCAAAATACCGAGGATATGCAAATTCAAGGGTTCGCAGATGACACCGTCCTCATGATCCGGCACCACAACTGCAACACCCTCCAACAAATGGCAAATACCACCCTCAAGAAAATTCACGACTGGAGTGAGAAAAACAAATTACCCTTGAACTATGATAAGTGTGAAGGCCTTGTCTGCACGAAGAGATCTCGTCGCAGACAACTCCAAAGGCCTCTCTGCATCTATATCAATAAAAACAAGATTAAAATCAAGCCGACCATTAAGTATCTTGGTGTCCATCTCGACCCAACGTTGAGTTGGAACCACCATATTGATACTATTTGCCATAAAGTGAAACAAAAGGCCAACTTGATCAACTACATAGCGAGGAATAACTGGGGCCTTTCCCCCAAACATTGTAGACTCATTTATAGCGGCGCTATAGAACCAGCGCTGCTGTATGCTGCCGAGATTTGGGGTAGCAGAGCAACTATCGTCAACAACAAACGAAAAATTATCTCCATTCAACGTGGCTTCGCTATTCGCATCTGTAGGGCCTATCGGACGGCACCTACAAATGCTCTTCTTGCTATAGCGAATTTAACACCAGTCAACATCAAGATTAACACCAAGGTGTGGAAGTGGCACCTCATAAACAGTGACTTTTCGCACATGCCAAATGATAAACTCCAGGCTCTCATCACAAACAACCACATACCTTCAGCAAATATTGCCAACAAAATCAATCACCACGGGATCGACTACTGCTTCACTGACTACTCCAACTGCAATCATCCTGCAAGTGATACAGACAACTTGGTTAAGATCAACCACGACGAAAACGACCCGCTCGCTGACTGGAACATCTTTACGGACGGTGCTAGGAATGACCTGGGCACTGGTGCGGCATTTGTCATATAAGAAAACCTCTAAAAATAGTGTTGTCCATGAAGAACTCCACAAACTCTCCACCCATTGTTCAAACAATCAGGCGGAGTTATGGGCAATGTTTAAGGCCCTCTCCCTTGTCACCAAGAACCTCCGCAGGTTCAAAGGGAATATCGACTTTTTCACCGATAGTAGGTACGTCCTCAACGTAATCAAGGGGACAAAGAAGCTTACTGCAACTGGCATCAAGCTGCACAATCTTGCCAAGAACTTAGACAGCTACAGGAATATCTCCTTTAAGTGGGTCCCCGGGCATTCGAACATAGAAGGCAACGAGAAAGCCGATAAACTGGCCAAAAAAGCAGCGGAGCTAATGACTAATCCATCCTTCGGGCTGATACCAATCAGCTATATTAACCAACACATTCACGACAACAGCATTAAACTCTGGGAAGAAGAATGGAACAACTCCGAAACAGGCAGAACTACTTTCAGTTTTCTGCCTTCAATTCGGAAGCGCCAGAAGTACAACTACATTACTCCTTCCTTCTTCATGACGCAGTGCCTAACAGGACACGGAAACATTCCGACGTACCTCCACAGGATTGGGAGGCGAAACACCGACGTGTGCACCTGTGACAATCAATCCGTGGGCGACATCCTCCACATCCTCTTCGACTGCCCGCGCTACGAAGCCAACAGAAGAGACCTAAAAACCTATTGCATTACACACGGACAATCGTGGCCACCAAGACTGGACTATTTGTGCGCCTACAAAGGAAGCTTCGAGCATCTCCAAAAATTAGTAAATAACTGTAACGCTTTCCAAAATGACTTCTCCGGGCACCGAGCTCATTGTGACTCCAGCAACTGATTCGACGCCGCATCATCTCAGCTATGTAAACCTCAATGTAATCTCTGTGCACAATTGCTTATTATTTTACTCTGTGTTTCCACGTAACCGCTTTGCTACTATGTATCAATTTGTACATATCGTAATGTGTAAGTTGCAATTTTATGGTAATTTGTATCCTATTGTATTTCCTTGTATAACATAGCATATTATGTCATTGACTAATATGCCCTTCTCAATGTATACCTCTTTAATGTATAGCTTACTGTTTTTATTAATGTTAATGCTCTCTTATTATTCAGGGCACTATGCCCATTCTGTTTTGTAACCACATTCTTATGCATAATGTGCTTCTACACCCTACCCTGTTTTTATATAACCATCCATCACCTTGTAAAGTGCAACGGGCACTGGCATACAGCCACCTTTATTGTACGCATTGTATTCAGCTTTATTCAATTTTATGTTCCTGGTGCTTGACAATCATGTGATACCCCCCCTTACTTTCTTCTTTCCCACTTTCCTTTAACTTTCATCCCCCTCCCTCTGCACTCCTCCTTCTTTCCTTTCTCAAACGGCTAAGTCGCAAGACAGCCTACTAATCTATATTACAAGTCGGTGTCTTCGAACGAAGTACACCTGGTAAGTATTCCGACAATTTTTTGTTTATAACATATTTTATATGGGTTATTCCCAAAACATTATATGTGTTTTGAAAATATTCGAGTCAAATTAGTCTAGAATCGATTAATTTTATGGAAGAAAACTTTTCAAACAGCCGTACCCCCTAAACTGCACAAGTGCCTGTTTCTGTTGGCGTTTCGCAAGTTTGCTGCGTGTTTATAAGGAAATTTCTGTAAGGTTTATCCATTGATGATTGCGACTTGATGATTATGTGCTGTATAAAGCTTAAATTACCAATAAAGAATTTTAATATACTTTATTTTCAGACAGAATTTTTTTGATCTACTACTAAGATTTTCGTTGTCTTTACTGTTCAAAAATTGGAATTTAAGTTTACTGTTTGATTGTCTTGAAGTTTCTTGTCCTTTAATTATTGTATTTCTTAAATTGTATAATTTGATAAATTAAGGATTTATTGCACAGATTTGTATTTTATGGAGATGGACGACTTAAGTTTTTTAAATAGTCATTATGTAGAATGCATTTTGGGCCTTAGACCCGTCTTTGGCTGCAGANTTTCTTGTCCTTTAATTATTGTATTTCTTAAATTGTATAATTTGATAAATTAAGGATTTATTGCACAGATTTGTATTTTATGGAGATGGACGACTTAAGTTTTTTAAATAGTCATTATGTAGAATGCATTTTGGGCCTTAGACCCGTCTTTGGCTGCAAAACTGTAAGAACTGGAACTGGTGCTATCGTATAGAATAGTCTGCAGCTGAAGAGGAGTCTTTGGCCTAAAATGTCTATTTAAAGAAGTTAAGTTGTTTGCTAAATAAAATATGTTCCTATATGATAAGCCCTTAATTTATCAAATTTAGTCTTTGCATGAAAATTAAGGATATTAAAATTCTTTCCTGGTGATTTAAGGTTTTTATTGTGTATATTAATCTAGTCTGGTACAGAAGTTGAATTTTGACCTAATTGAGATGTGAGCTTTTTTAATTGTTACTCTAACCCAGTGGTTTTCAACCTTTTTTTTACCCATGGACCCCTTTTCCTCTTAATTTTTTTTTGTGAACCCCCATATACGTTGCACAGAAAAAAAAAACATATTTTTCACTAATAAAAAAAGAAAGAAATTGTATCAAAAATAAAAAAAACGTTTTCCTTGTATAAATGATTTTTTTCTGTTTTAAAAAAAGTTATTGATAATAACTTTGACATTCTGTTTGAAACCAGTGGTCTTGTTTTGGAATTATCATTATTTTGGCTGCTTTTTTATTTTTAAAATAAATTAGTTTCATTTGACTTTTTTTATGTTGCATATTTAGGGATTTTTATTAATATTTGATAAAAAAATTTTCATACATTTACATGAATATATATATTTTTATCTTATTGTGAAAGTACTTTTAAAAGATATTCTCATAAATGTGTTAAAATAATTTTAGATATATTCATATTGATTGTTAATTTATTTGTTGGAAAGAATGCATATTTGTTTAAATTTTAAATGTGTTCTTGATAAACATAAGTTAGTGTACCCTCCAGGAATACAAAAAAGTCGTATTTTTGTATATACAAGTATATATACTTCTCACAAAGTTTATTGGCTGGGCTGCCAATAAATTTCATGAAAAATCTGGTCAGAGAATCTGGTGTAAAGAGTCAGGGAAGAACACTGGCTTTTGTTACAAAATTTGATAATTGAAAATGTCTTTATTGAGTATCCATGTTATGCTGCAATGTTTTGAACGTAATTCAGTTTATTTGCCTATTTTGAATGCTACGATGCATAATTAAAATAATCATCTGAATTTGCAGGTATTAACAAAGGCTGTTATCCTGCTTTTCTTAAAATAAAGTAATTTGTCTATCCTTGAGAGGGTCATGTGCATTTATAAAATGTGTACCGTGGCTGCTCTTTTGTACTAGTCGGAATGCAAGTTTGGGCTGCTATTTACTTTACCCAAAACCTTTTCTAAATTAGATGTCTTGCACCGAGTAATAAGTATTTCATCAATATATTGTGCATATGAAAGAATCTATATGACACAGGAAGATAATATAGATCTCACCATCACTCTTAAGACATATTTATGCAATACACCTCCTAAAAGAGGACTTCCTATTTGTATTTTTCTCTTCTGTAGGTAGGTTTGTTATTAAATTCAAAAAAATTGTAACAAATAAGATAGGTTAACTAAGACAAAGCTGGTGGTGTAAATGGGAGTCTGACATCAAATTAAAATCTTGCAACTGGCAAAACATAATGTATCTTGTATTTATGAGTTCACAAATAAACATGTAATACTGTTTATATATAGTATATATGTACACTGTATATACAGTGGGTGATCGGTTAACGAACAAATTGGATAATGAACACTTTCGCGAAAGATTTTTATGATCGGATAACAAACACTTCACTGAACAAAGATAAAAAGAAGCGACGGAAATAGCAAATACCAATTGATTTTTTTTTCTTCAGGTAACAATTTGAAACTTTTCGGAGCGTGGGAGATGGTAACGTCGACGATCAACCCGATATATACCGATCAGATAGTATTCCTCGAACTTTGAAATACTTCCTTGTAATTCCAGCCTTTTATTTTTATGACAAACAATTCTTTTATAGTATTTACGAGACTGTCGGGCGGGCACTCATTAAGTTTTGCGTCGGTTTTTATTTTCGAAAGGTGAGAGTATAATAGCAAAGGTAGAGAGCGGGGAACAGAATATGTCTGATGTTGCTGGGCAGTATGGCTTGAACAAATCTACAATCTTAATTCAATCTTAGTTCAATCTTATTCTTCACAGTATGGTACAGTTCAATCTTATCTAAGAAAGACATAGTATAATCAAGAAGACTCGAGCAGCTAAAGGAGTAACAAATATTACATCTGAGAAATAAAGAACATTGAAGAGGTCATAATGGAACCTGAAAGTGATCTGACGACAGAAGAATGCCAAAAACTCTGGAATGAAGAACACCAAGAAACTCGGTGAGATATGTTTTATTCTGAAAAAGAGGATTAATACTGATATCTGCTATTAATTAAAGATCTTTTGAAGAAGAGAGGGATGTAAGATCAACGGTCTTAGTATGGTATACAAACCAGGTTGAGGTTAATAGTCTTGGGAATCTGTACAATTACAATGCTATTAATTCTGAAAATCCTGAAGAAGAGAGAAAAGCAATTGACATTAGACAGATTATTTAACCTTCACAAACAAAAAAATATGACTAATAAAAATGCAAGTCTGTGTATATATGTATTTTTATTATTACATATAAATAAACGTGGTAAGAAAGTATATATTTTTTATTTTTTGGAACTTGAGAACAAATTAATCAAATTCCCATACAAACCTATGGTAAATTGATAATCAGTTAACGAACAATTTGGATAGCAAACAAAGGTTTGGAATGGATTGTGTTCATTAACCGATCACCCACTGTATATAATATGAAAAATATTTGTGATTATTTATTGATAATGAATTGAAATAATCACTGTTTATATTTACAGGATGAAATCTTGAAGGCTGCCGTTATGAAATATGGAAAAAATCAGTGGTCTCGTATAGCCTCTCTCTTGCATCGAAAATCTGCCATACAGTGCAAAGCGAGATGGTAATTAAGAAATTTAAATTAATTAAATTAATAATTGTAATTATATCTGTCTTTAAATTTATGTTATAGTGCAAACAATTACATGACAGAGATTAAGCAGCAGCATTAACAAATGTTACAGATAAACTTTTGGATATTATAAGCTTAAATAAATAAAATAGAACTGTTGTATGTTGTAAAGTTAGTTTTTGTTGTTTGTATATGTATATTGTTGTCTCTAGGAGCAAATTATTAAGGAACAAATAAGAATTGCCAAATTTAAAACAATTTATAAGTGAGTTAATGATCAATTTATTAATTTAGAAGCTGTACTAAATATTTTATTAAATATATTTGGAATCTTTACATTTAAAAGTTGGCATATGATGACTTTTAAGTGTCAGGATTTCTGTTGATGGAAGCAACTCTGTTTTCCTTGATTAATATCTCCTTAGTAAAAGTTTTAGAGGTTTATGAAGGAATATCTAAGAACTTCATAAATAACGAGTACTGCAAATCAGTATTTATAAACTCTTCTTGTTTAATATTTGAAATTCTTATGAAGAATTTAGAATATAAAATTAGCTTTCATTAGTTTAAAAATAAAATAATATCAAAAGCATTAAAAATTAATTGGATTTTCTGTTAACTGTGTATTTCTTCCATGCTAGACTGATCATTTATTGTTTTATCTATAATATTCAAAACTGCTCATTGGAATATTCCAATATCACAATATTAATACAACAGAATTATGATTTTATGTAAAATTAATCATTGGAAAATAAGGAAAAACTTGAAAAGAGGATGTTTATGTCATAGGACAACATGATAAAGTTTAATAATTGATTGGAGTGATTGCAGCTAGATTGTAGTGCATCTAATTCAGAAAAAATAATATAATTTGAAAATATTTTATGAGTAATGCTATTTTATGAGTAATGCTTTACAAGACATTAAAACTGGAGTGATGCTGCTGATTTTTCTATAAATAAAATTGCTGTACATTTGAATAATGTATTCAATTTTCTATTACATATTGCTGGTTAAATTTATAATATACATGTCATTAAATTATACAATAATACATTTTTTAAACTCGTTACTAGGCATGAATGGTTGGATCCGAGCATTAAAAAAACTGAATGGACAGGGGAAGAAGAAGAAAAATTACTGCATTTGGCTAAATTAATGCCTAACTAATGGAGGACTATTGCACCAATTATTGGTAGAACTGCAGCTCAGTGCTTGGAACATTATGAATATTTATTGTAAGTTTTATTTATTTTTATTATATTTTAATAAAAAATTATAGAAAAGTTTTAAATTTTTTAAGAAGCTTGAGAAGATAAGTATTGATATTTCCTCTTCATTTTAAAATTATACAGGGTGTATCAGAATAACGTTTTAAAACTTTTGAGGATTGTAGAGGATAAAATTTTGAGCGTTTTGATATAAGGAACCTATAGCTGGAAATTTGAACTAAAGTATCTACAGTAGTAGGAAATGCTTGACCGCTTTTCACTTTGGTAGCTACTCTTCTGTCCATTGACGTCATATTATTGCTGCGGATGGAAGACTGTAAACACACAACTACAATGGTCTAACTGATGTCTATGTACAGGATGTTGTGTACTTAGTGTTTGTCGTCCTTTGGGTCACCCCTTGCATCCACTGGCGCTGTGCTGTAAACACACAACTAGTCGACGTGAGTCCCTTGTGTACGCAACACCTGTAGGAACAGTTCATGAGCTTACGGAGTGCATCTTTACAGCATTTAATACCATCAGAGGGAAGCGTGGCATCTTTGCACATTATGTAACGAAGTTGGTGGTTGTCACATTGAACATTTACTCTAAAGTAGTGCAGCCACTGATTCGATGTACAGTTTGATTGTATTCTACTCTTTTGTCAATAAAACTTATCATAAATACTGTATTCTGCTGTTTCATTCAGCATACCGACTGCATATAACGTGCAAAGTGCTGTAGAAACTTTATATCACATTTTCAGCTATAGGTTCCTTATATCAAAACGTTCAAAATTTCATCCTCAACAATCCCCTAAATTTTTAAAACGTCATTCAGATACACCCTGCATAATATGGAAATTAATAATATAGAATGTTTTGCATCTATTTAAATATTAATCAATAAATGATTTCGTTAATCAGTCACAAATAATCACGAACCGAAATTTTGAATTTAGAATGTTTATAAACAAGTAACAAATTTATTGTTTTGTCATAAATTTTTAAAATAATTTCAAATTTTATTATTATTTTTTATTTAATTATCATGTACTTTTTTTATATTCCTGTTTCACTTTAATATTTATAAAATTTTTTAATGTAAAATTTAGAGATCAAGCTCAAAGGCGAGAGGAAGATGGCGACGTTGCGGATGATCCTCATAAATTGAAACCAGGAGAAATAGATCCAAATCCAGAGACAAAACCTGCAAGACCTGATCCTAAACTCATTGTGAGTTTGGCCATACTCACAAATAGGAGCTGCTGCTGGGTGGTGAGGGACAGAGCCGAATATTTTGCGGTGGGCCGCTGGTGAAAAATCTCAGGAATTTTTTATAGGCGGTCTGGTAGTTTTCGTTGTAAACCTGGTCAAATATATGACAGATATGATTAAAAAGGCCTTATTAATTTCCACAGGGAGAAAGAGCAAACTATAAGTTGTTGAATGTTATCAATTTATACAGTACAAAATAGATCATTTAGCTTGCTCAATTTTTTTCTTTTTTTAAAATCATTTCTATACGATAGAAATGGTAAACGAAGCCCTGCTTGAACTATTTATAATTAATTGCAAAAGTGCAGCTCGAGTGCAAACCCAAAACGAATGCGATGAGCCGACGCCTTACTATACGTACCGTACGACATTCAACTTTCCATAACCAATAAACAAGTTTGTATATGTATCAATTATATGATTAAATGTTATAAATTAATCTGATTTTAAGTAATTTTTGAATAGTTTTCCAGACAGAAATGTTAGCTTCACTAAATGTTGTTTTAAAATGATTGCGAGTTGCTTTTTATAAATCAAATTATGATTTATAAAAAGCAACTCGTTTATTACGAACAACTTATGAAAAAATGTTCTAGTTGAGAGATGATTTTTCAATCTGATGTTATTAATAAACACAACAAATTTAGTAAAATTACGAAACATACTAATAAAAATAAAATTTGAAATAACAGGATATAGAAAATTAATCTACAATTCAGTGAATTGTGTAATGATCAAATTCTATGCTTCACAAACAAATATTCGATATTACATTAAGCCACTCTTCAATCTTTAATAGCAAAATTATTATAACTCAAACATTGAGCTGGAAATATCTTTCTTTCTTTCTCTAATATGGAGATTCTGGCTGGATCGCCTTTTTTCCGAGGTACTCTTGTCCATAATTAGACAAATTGATGTGTGCGAGCTACATAGCGTTCGAGGGCCTGCACATGCTGTCTAGGTGAGAGGTCTGTTTTTGCCCAATACAGTATACGGGTATTAAAGTTGGATGATTGCGAGGTCTATCTTCAGAGTACGGCCGAGTTCCTGTCGGGCTTCCGTATATTTTGGGCATGTCAGCCAATAATTCTGGATGTCTCCTGAGCGCCACAATGTGGACAGTCTGGTGAAGCTCGTAGGTTTCTGGAACAGAGGAACCCATTTAGAGGGGCAGTGTCTGTTCTAAGGCGGGCCAAGAGGGTCTCTGCGTTCCGAGAAGAAGCATGCCTGTAAGGCCAGGGAGCGAAGGGTCTGAGGTGATCACGTCGTTTATTCCGCAAGTTTGTTGACCACAATTCTGTGATCCCTATTTTTTGTTTTTCTCTATACTCCAGATTAAATCGCGGGCCATAAGTGGCGGACTTACTGTCGGAGCATATAACCGACGGACCGTCTAGGCTTGAGCTTAGATGTAGCACCCATTTGATACCCAGGGCCTCTGCCCCATATATACTGCAAGAATTATGTAACAGCCTGGTCTTCCTGATGATGTGGTTCGGGAGGACAATCCCTATCGATGTGCGGATCCCTGACTTGGAGGCATCCGCCCCTATGAGGATCCTTCCCTGCCGGATTGACATTTGCATCTCGGAATCGTGCGTATGCGATTTTCGGGGATTCCGAAGGAGAGCGAATTAGCTATTCAAGGTGTAAGTGAGGATAAACCCGGGCCATGTTGGGCGGAGTATGTTTCTGCCGATATAGGTGGGATATCGGGAGTCCCTCGTGACGTATAAGGGATATTATTCTCTGTATATACTGTCTCTGATAAGGGCGTCAGCGATAGTAATCCAAGCCATGTGCCGTAAGATATAGCGGGTTTTGTGGGCTGTGCGAGCCCCTGGAGATGTGGGTGATGGCGCCAACGCTTTTTGGCGGAGCCTGAGATGCAGTGATATGTAAGACGTTTCAGCGTATAGCGAGATGATTGGAGTGGTTTTCGGGATGCCCAATGCGGTACGGAGGGCAGTGTGGAGTAGATTTTCAATACGTTGAGCTGGAAATATCTACTTTAAATATTTCTTTAAATATAGTAGGAGAGTTTTGAAACTATATTTGAGTTTATTTAAGCAAGTGCAATTTCTGTCATAAAAATTTTAACTTGATTCTCTGAAGGACGTCTATGCTTCTTTGAAATCATTATCAAATCGCAGTGTTTCACGTATTCATACAAAAAGCGAATATCCTTACAAATCATGGGTTTCTTTATTGAGAAATGTTATTAGATATTTCATTTTGATACCAAATTAACAAAATAATTAAATTCTAAACGAACGTTTGAGTCCCAAGGAAATAATCTCGTAAACGATTTTATTAATTATACGAGGTTATATTGTAAATATTTAAAATTGCAAAATATATATATTTTTATCTTATTGTGAAAGTACTTTTAAAAGATATTCTCATAAATGTGTTAAAATAATTTTAGATATATTCATATTGATTGTTAATTTATTTGTTGGAAAGAATGCATATNAAAAAATTTTCATACATTTACATGAATATATATATTTTTTCTATTCGACGCTTTTATTTAAGTCACTACAAATTTACTTACAATTTTAATAATTAGATATTGCCATTTCTTCTGGTTTTCTCCAGTTTATCCCTTGGAAAAAGGGATGTCGTTGAATTTCTTTAAATTTGAACAATCCATTGCCCAATCTACGAACGGGATCCACTTGCATGAGTTCTTCAATAATTTTCCTGGCATTTTGAGAGAGATAGGAAGGTATGTCTATAAAATCGCGTTCAAATTGTCTGAAAACGGGAAACGATCCTCGCTTCTTTCCTTTGGGAATCTTCCTTAGAATTTCCTCGCTGCATCTAGAACCTTTTCTAGGGAGGCCCGATAGCAACTTGAAGCCCAACATCCCCAAAGACCAAAAATCCACACTACGGTTGTAAGGAAAGTCCAGAAACATTTCGGGTGCCATAAACCAATAAGAGCCGCATTTTTCTCGGCATTTTTTGGCATAAACGCAATTTTTGAGATCGCTCAACTTCACCCAGCTAGAATTAACTACCAAGACGTTATTAAACGAAAGATTGCGATAAATGATGCCATTTTCGTGAAGGAAATTAAGAGCAAGTGCAATTTCTGCCATGAAAATTTTAACTTGATTCTCTGAAAGACGTCTTTGCTTCCTTGAAATCATTGTCGTCAAATCGCCGTGTTTCACGTATTCATATAAAAAACAGAAACTGAATTTAGTTTCAAATTTTGCATAGATTTGTACGAAAAAAATATTATTTTTTACTAAATGTGAAACTCTATCTATCATATGGACTTTTTCTTTCACCTCTTTGTTTAAACAAGATTCTTTTGATATGACTTCTAGTACAAATAATTCATTAGACATCTTTTCTTCCGTTAATAATAAGAAAATCCCCGAACAACTGTTTAAACATTTTAAAACTATCAAGTCTTTGATATTCCAAGCTTTCTCGTTTTCGAAGATCATTGAATTGTTAGCTATCATACAAAACTTATCACCGAACTGTCTGTCTTCGTTTTTGTTGTTATGATAAGGTATATTGTACGCCTCCCAAATAAGGAAATTCACCATGACAGATTTAACTTCATTGAAATTTTCTGATAGATAAGCGAAGATGAGGTCTTCGTTTTCGCGAACATTAAATGCTTCATTTTCTCTTTCTTCTTTGCTTTGTGAAGATCGTAACTCGTCATTATTATCAAATGCTAACGTAATTTTATTATCCATTGAGGAAGATAATATGGATTCCTTAAAAAGTAATTTATTCTCTCTCTTCTCTTTCTGGTCATATTGAATACTTTGTGAACGTAATAGAGATACATTTGCATCGGGGCACACTTCTGTCGATAACTGAGTTTTCGATTTTGCACTTTTGTAACTCATCTTTATATTTTCCGTTTAAAAGTTTCGAACAAATAATTCCTCAGTTTGAATTTTTAAACATTAGATATCGACGGAGAATGGCCAAGGGTTAAAGCGTCAGCCTACCGCTCTGGGATTTCCGGAATCGATCCGGACGAGCAATTCAAGAAAGTTTTTACGGATGATGTATTCTGGATATGTCGAGCCCCGTTTCTCACCACCCGGACGCCCCACTTTGAAACTGACCAAACCCACGATAGGCTTGAAAAAATGGCCTCTTAGCGCCAAGTACGCAGAAAGAGTAAACAAAAACTTGATAGAAGGATAACGATGCGAATAATGAGATCGCGGAGTTACTGTTACCAGAAAGCACTATGGAATATATCACAAAATAAATACTGTATAACAATAATACTGATTTCTTTTTTACATCTTTCTGCCCTGTGGGCACTAAGAAGGCTTCTTTTAGCAAGTTCATTATGGGTTCGACCAGACCCACAATGGGGCGGCTGGGTAGTGAGGGGTGAAAACTTCCTAGGGATTTTTCGATCACTTCAGATTCGATCCCGGGCTCCCCAGAGTAGTAGGCCGCCACCTCGGCCGCTCGAGCGGCCGGATGGCCGAACGGTCAAAGTGGCAGCCTACCGCTCTGGGGCAGGGCCGGATCATCGCATAAATAAATGAGACAAATGTCTAGGGCTCGGTCAAACTGTCTATTTTGAAAAGATTTGTAAATAAGATAGTTTTCTTTTCTGTTGGACAACTGTAGACTATATAATAAACAAAGATATATTGCTTTTTATATGGTTATTGTGAATTCTAAAATCTAAAGAAAATATGTTTTTATGTTCTTATGTGGGAGGGGGCCCGGTAAGAAGAAAATGTCTAAGGCCCCAAAGTGGGTTAATCCGGCCCTGCTGTGGGGGACCCGGGTTCGAATCCGAACGGGTCGAAAATCCCCAGGAATTTTTCGGGGGTGGTCCGTTCGGATATGTCGGGCCCCGTCCCTCACTATCCGGCAGCCCCATTGTGGGCCTGGCCGAACCCATAATGGACTTGCAAAATGAGACCCTCTTAGTGCCCACAGGGCGGAAAGAGTTAAAAAAAAAACCTCGGCCGCTCGTCCATCCGTCCTGACCGATAACATTGTAAGTCGGGCCTTTCCTTATGGAAAATTGAGTAGCAGTGTAAAATAAAAATGACTAAAAATAAATAATTCTCGAGACTTCCTAAAAATATATTACTTATTTTAATTAGTTTCGAAACAAATTTTTCGTTTTCTTAAAATATTAATTATTAAAATAGTGAAGAAAGTCAATTCGAACAGATGGCGTTATGATCGCGTACATGTCGTGCAGAAGAATAGCTCGCGAACCGAAGATTCGACGTCTAAAATGACAGGTGAGCACTCTTATAATAAAGTTCGATTTAGTTCTTTTTTCACGCGTCGAATGTATTGTATTTCGATGCGAAAAATTTCTAATGAGTCACAGTTATAAAAACTTCGAGAAGTTACAAAAATTTGATAACAGATTTCATGTTCCGATTATAATTTAATTAATTATGGTAAATAAATCGAGTGTAGAAATTTAGAAACGTTCTGAAAGCTTAATGTAGTTGTGATAGTAGCTGATAAGTTTGAAATAATATATGCATACACTACGTGTGTGTAATATGTATAATCTTACACTAACACGTGGCTGGACTAGTTGGTTGGATCCCATGTTGACTTTGTAGTGACATTGGAGCCTGGCCGTCTTCGGCATGGCCCAGGCACCGGAAGTAGGACCAGGCCGACGTCGGAGCTAAAAAAAAAAAAAGTGGCTTCCTGGGTGCTGAGCAGTCCGGCGTCGTGTATCCGAGATCCCTGATTAATGTGATGTGGGGAATGCTTATGTGATTTTTCGTGGTGGACTACTCTTCTGGGCCCCGGCTACCTGTGGGCGGTTAAGTATGCTGGGCAACTGTCCATTGTAGATATCGCTTGGCTGTCTTGGGAGGGAAAATCTACGTGGGGTATGACTTTTTGGTTGCTGATGTCTGTGAGCAACAACTGACCTGCTGGCTGCTCCCCTCTACCATCGCTCTCTCTCTTTTTCGGTCTCTTTGCTGCGTACAATGTGCAGTGCTATGCATTTCAATGCAAAGCCAATGTCGGATCCACTGAATCAGTCTGGCCCTCTCGCATACTTATGCTCTTTCCAGTTAAAATTACTAATATAAAATTATTTACTAAACAGTTAAGTTTGTCTGTTTAATAATTCTAGATAAGAATTTTGCACGTACGTGTGAATAACATACTATAAGTGTGAATAATCGAGAGTCGTGACTGACTGACTGCCGAGTAAAAGTCGCTGACTGACTATATACTGTGTGCGGGAATCGGGTTGCCAATCTTCTGGGGTTGATTTCTCCACTCCAAATTCCTAAAGTAATTCTGAATATCTCATTTGAAAGATTATTGTTAATTATGGAGATCCTGATGGAGATCCCGATAAATGACTTTAAAAAAATGCTTCCAACAATGGAAGCATTGCTGGGAGAACTGTATGAACTTGTAAGGGCCTATTTTGAAGCAAAATAGTGTTTGAATCAAATAGATATACAGGCATTTTTTCTTGACCTCGGATCGAGTACTCTTTGATCAGACCTTATACAGGTAAAAATATTGTGGATACTGCTTTGAAGTATCAAGCTTATCTTTTTCAAAAAAACCTAATAATAAAAAAATTTGAATGCTATCCAAATTGTCATAAGTTTTTACTTGATGCAATTTTTTACATCTTGGATATTTTTGTTCTGACTAAATATTTATCAGAATTGTATCGTATTCTTCAATTTTGAGAATTTAACTATACAGGGTACACCTTGACTTATGTCGCTTTGAGTTACGTCATTTCCGATTATACGTCGTTTGTCAAAAAAGTATATGGAAAAATAAAAATCAAGTTTAAGTCACTTTATTCGACTTTACGTCTGTCCGCCACAAATATTGAAGTCGTAATATCACTAGAAAAGTGTTTAAAGCACATAAAATCATATTAAAATTTACAAGTATGTACAGTACTGTATTTACAGTACATGCATTTGTAAATTTAGATTACTTTTTTCTGTAATATATTAAAAACTAAAATTTATTTGTTTGTAAGCTTAAAATAGATCCTCATTAACCATATATTATTAAAAATGCATTAATAAATAAAATACATAATCGGAAATGGTAATTTATGGTTTAGCCTAGTGACAAGTAGATTCAGAGACAAGTAAATTCGACTTACGTCGCCTCTCCTGGAACCAATTACAGACATAAGGCCACCTATCGCATAAGTTCGGGGTATTACTGTAAACACAGTATATATACCAGTCAACAAAATCACATACCTAATAAATAGAAAATCGCTTATATCCACTTTTTTAAATCAGCAAGTGGATTGAATTGAAAAATAAGACTCGAGAAATCATAAAATTATTAAAAACATTACATTTGAAAGGTTAAAACTTGCTAATAAGGTGGATGTAAATGATTTTCTATATTTATCACACATTACTTTAGCTTCATTTCAGAAATACAGTGTAGGACCTAGTCGAAAAGATGTGAATGCACTTGCTCCAAAATTTTTGAATGCTCTTTAACGGGACAGTCTATAAGCATTATCATAATTATTCATGCAATAAGCAACCTAAAGAAATTGGAATTTTCTTTTGGATATTATTATTTGCAACTTTCTTTTCAGTCACTTCCTCAATCTTGATACCGTAATGTAGAGGGTCCTTTGCCATGTGTATGGGCAATCAATCAATTTTTTATTGCACATACAATTGTATATGACCAGTACTGCAGGGCACAAGTGGGTAAGTCCCGAGCACGATGTACCATTAGATTAAAGATAGACCCTATAAATCTTCCTTAGAATAGTTTTCCTTATGCAGACTGTTGCTCTAAAAATGCCAACATGGCACTGTTTAAATGGACTGCTCTGGTATCCAGTGCTCTGTTAATGGGAGTTCTGCTGTTTGAAACATAGGGGAGGATATTGAAAATGTGGGGGAGTGCTCTCTTAAGCAAATTACTATTTTATCTGATGTTCTGTTAAGTGGACTAGAATTCTTAATAAATGGTAGCACAGTCAATGTTTCCCATAATGAATTTATTGTGGACTTATTTTTAAGTCTTAGAAAATGAACTTTATTACCATATTTATTCGTGTATAAGACGATCTTGCATATATTACAAGGTGTGACTTTAAAGGTCAAAATAAAGAAAACTAGATTTATTAATACAATTCTAATTTTATTTTGTTTAATCACAAATAAAATATTATCAAATGTACATATTAAGGCAAGCAGCCATGTTTTCTTGATGCTGTTACCTTTTGTGTAATCAGACTTGGCCTCTGAAGCTTCCTTACAACTCTCTTCTTTTTCACTCTCACTCCACAAAGCATCCTCTGATCTGTTGAGTGAATTTGAAATGCAGCATTTCCTGAATGACTTTGCTATCAGCTCTTGAGGAATGCTTTTCATGCAACTGATACCCATCTAGCAATCTATGAAGCTTTAGCCCGTTTGATGCAGTCAGTTCTGTTCACTTCACGATTTTTGGAGGTAATCCAGTCAGTGTACAGTTTCCTTACGCAGTGTTTAAATGCCTTGTTGATGCATATGTCCAAGGGCTGTAATTGTGATGTCATTCCCCCAGGAATTGTCACAAGAGTGCTTGTTTTATCAGATTTTTAATGGCATCTGCAAGGTGTCCCTTGAATGCACCCATCACTAAAATTGACAGTAGTTTTAGCAATGTCCTGGTAGATGTAGCCATAATGTTTATAACCAGTCAATCATAAGCTCGTTGTTCATCCAGCCTTTCTCGTGACATCAAATAACATCATCTCTTGGAAAAGTTTCATCTTTAGGGATTGTTTTCCACTTCAGTTTAATGTATGGTGGCAACTTATAACTGTCTGCTATGCATGCTAGCATGACTGTGATTCTTTGCTTTTCATTCCCTTTTGACCTAATCAATACTTGCTTTTCTCCTTTTTGATGGACAGTTGTATTGCTCATCATATCAAAGTAAATTGGTGTCTCATCTGCATTCCCAACTTGGCTTATTAGGAATTTAGTCTGTTTACTTAAATTGATGACATGCCTCTAAAACTGGACCAGCTTGGCTTCATAATTGGCAGGTAATTTTTGAACAATGGAGGTCCAACATCTTATGGAGAATCCTGCTCTTTTCATTAAGTGGGATGCCCAACCACAACTTGTTTTGAATTTTTGCTGTGGAATTCCACATTCTCTCACAAGATCTCTGGCTTTTACTTGAAGAATTTCCACAGTCACAGGCATATACCTATTGCACTTGTATTTCTTCTTCTAACTTTGGATATTCACCAGTTTTTGGTCCACAAAATGATTTTCTTCTACTTTCACAATTTAACCATGAATACCATGAATCTTGCTGATTATGCCACTTACACACACACACTGAACTCACGGCTTGTGACACAGTTATTGCTCTTTTCTGCATGCAAAATTACTTTTCTCATAAAAGAAGCTGTGTACTGTGTTTTCCATACATTTTCCATTGTCAAAAACCAATGGTATCTTTCCACTATACTAGCTAACAGTAAAATACTGTAACAACAAAGAGTGACCTGTCACTAGACTGTTATTTGATGAGTCAGAAATAGTGACCTGTCATTCTTTTCCTCAAAGCTATTTTTGAACTGTCTCTTTGAAAGTGACATTCACCTTGACATTGATAGCACTCTGCTATAATGGCAGCATGAACTATACATGGTTCACAAAAATTATTGCAAAAATTCAAAGAATCCTTTGCTCACACGTATAAGATTTTTGAAGCAGTGAAAAATGAATAAAAACCTCGTCTTATATGCGAGTAAATATGTATGTTCTGTGTTTGAAATTGAATATTACTAGTAATGAGTGTATTGATATCCATTTGTGCAAAGAACAGATACAATGTATGTATTATTGAAAACCTTGTGCTTTTTTAAATATAATAGAGAGGTTGCGGTCGAAGTTCAAATGTTAAACTTGTATGGCAAGTACATGTTTGATGTTTGAACTCCAAGTAAAACACATTGCACCCTATGTTCATGTCGCACACTGACTCATGGGATATTGCTGAAAAATGGCAAACGTTTAAAATGATGAATGTTATTAGCAAAGGTTAATAAACAAATTAAACTATTTTAAAGTATTTATATGATGTTTAATAACACTAAATAATTACTTTTGACTTTAATTAGCATCGTATCTCCTCACATACGATATTTCTCATGACATACTTTTGTTGATGGAAGTAGTGGCTTATATAAATCCAAAAATAGCTTAGGAAATCATTTTTAGAAAATTTACGAACATATTACACTGTTGATGGTAGAAGATACTGTGAAAGAACAAACCTACTTCTACAAAATTATGATAAGCTATTATGAAGACAAATATATGTAAATTCTGTAGGCACTTCACATAACTTGCAAAAGAATTGAATAATTAAATAATATCTGGATTTTTAACATTTATTATTCATAAATGCTTAAATAATCATTATTTTAATAAAATACATCATAATTCTAACCCAAACACAAAAAAATGAAGAAGTTTAAGCTGAACTTCTACTTGCCATACTAGACGTAGCCAACGCCATTATCAACCTTCTAGAATTGCCAGATGGCGGCACTTGACATCTGACGTTCACGTTTTGGGCTGAAAACGTTGGCCACAACCTCTCTATTGTACAGTACATGCATACTTACATGTATTAATATATACTGATAGAGGCTTACACTTGGATATTACATCCATGAAAATAAGATGATGGGGCAGTGCAAAGTGCTTTATTGAGTTGCTTTCAAATCTAGAGTTGTGATCTACAATGTTCCATTTTAAATGAGATATGAAGTGTATCTGATGTAATATTGCATTGGTTTTGTTGTTTAGCAATTGTTAATATTATATCTATAAGCTGATTTATTGTTATAAATGCTATGGTTTGTTTGCATTGAGGAAATTTTTTGTAAATGCTTTCCTAAACTGTTATGTAGTAATTTAAGTATTGAAGTAAAGACTTCAACCTATCATTATAGGGAACAGGGGTTTGATTTTGGGTTGTAACTTCAAAAATTTTTGTAGATGGTTTGATTGAGATATGTCAGGTTCCAATCATTGCCATTGTGGACCTGATCAAACCCATGTTTGACCTGAATAGAGGACCTCTTCATGCCTACAGACAGATTTTTTTTTAAACTCTTTACTAAGTTTACAAAATATTAACAGGAATAGCAACCTAACATGGTTATTTTCTAAATGTTACAATATGTAATTGAATATTGATAAACAAATCTTATTTTTTAGGTCATAGTCATCCGGAGAAATTAGTTTTAATAAACAAACATAAACAACAGGAAGGACTTCCATGGTTTCGACAGAATTTATCTATAGGAGCTCCGACCACTGTCAGACAAGTTAGTCAGGAAGATCACACAGTTGTGCCAAGGAAGATACCTCCACAAAATGTTGTGCTTAGGTTGATCAAACGAGAAATATATCCTTCAAAACCTTCTGTCACACACTTCCATGTGGCTCGAGCTTTTCATCAAAATGTTTTTCCAAATTTTACAGTGGTTAATGTGGAGAAGCCACCTTGTTTTCTGAGGAAGTTTTCGCCAGACGGTCGACATTTTGTGGCATTCTCATCTGATCAGACTTCCATTGAGATATATGAATATAGAGGACCTGCGGCAGCTGAGGAGTTACTGAAAGATGTAGATGGTGAGATTGCTCCCAATGGAACAGAGCAACAGCAATTGTCCACAAAGATTAGGAGTAAAATATTTGAATTGTTCTTCACGCTCAAGCATGTGGTTAGTGTGGCAGGAAATGGGGAACAGTTAAACAGAGAGTGTAGCCTCTTCACTGACGACGGAAACTATGTAATTGTGGGTTCTGCGGCTTATGTTCCTGACGACCCTCATCCCCCATTCTTTGACATATATCGAAATAATGAATCTGTATCTCCAAATCCGAGGTCACCTCTAGAAGATTATTCTTTGCACTTGGTTGACATGCGTAAAGGTAAACGGTGCGATAAGCGAACCTTTAAAACAGACAAAATATTTTTATCGCACAATCAAGGACTTTATCTGTATAGGGACACTTTAGCAGTCCTTTCTGTGCAGCATCAGACAATACACATTTTCCAGGTGACTCCTGAAGGTTCCTTTGTGGACGTAAGGACCATTGGACGCTTCTGCTTTGAGGATGATGAGTTTCTGATGATGTCGGGAATGTTACATGAAAGTAGCAGCAGAAGCAACCAGAGACCCTATAGAGAAGTGACAATCAACTCTCTAAAACACAGACTTTTGGCATTTCTTCATTGTAGGGCCGTAGCAGAAAGTTTGGAAGAGGGAACACCCAGACCTCTAAGGAAATTCTTTCAACATTTTGATCAATTTTGCCAGTTACGAATGTGGAAAATGCAACTGTTGGACGAAAATCACCTGTTAATTAAATATGCCAGTGAAGAGGTGATTACTCTGAGGCTCTCTGATCCCAATTCTCAGCCATCATTCTTTGTGGTTTACAACATGGTGACCACCAAAGTTCTGGCGGTATATGAGAACACGTCGGAGGAACTCTTGGAATTGTTTGAGAATTTCTGTGATCTTTTTCGCAATGCCACATTACACTCAGAATCGCAGTTGACCTGTTCTCCTTCTAACAACATTCATGCTCGTTTGATCCAACAGAGATTCAAACAGACTATTATCAATGCTCGTTATGGGGGTCACACTGAGGCTATCAAGAGACTATTGGCCCAACTGCCCATCAGTTCTCAGTCGTACAGCAGCAGTCCCTACTTGGATCTCTCTCTCTTCAGTTACGATGACAAGTGGGTGTCGGTGATGGAAAGGCCGAAAGCCTGCGGGGACTATCCCATCAGGTAAGTGGACGAGTCGGACAGTCAGTCCTTCGTCTCTCTCGGGATTGACATCAGATGTTGCTATTTATAGATTTTACGCCCGCGATTCTGGTCTTTTGAAATTCAAAATCTATGCGGGTCTGCAAGGCAGGAATCCCCCAGCATCTGCCAGGAGATTGGTGGCATTTACCTTTCATCCTCACGACCCCTTCGCCATCAGTGTGCAGAGGACGAATGCTGAATATGTCGTGAATTTTCACATTCGTCATGCATCCACGGTGTGACTTCCAAATTACTGAATTTTGTTACAGACCCCCTTTGTTGTTGTGTAAATAAATTTTATACAGAAAATGTTTCCACCACTCTCCAATATTTTTGATGCATTTGCATCTGTCGTGTTGCACTTCAAGTATTTATGATATTTATTATGAATTCATTTCTTTTGTCATCAAAGGGAATGGAAGAATAATTGCAAAAGAAGGATTAGGTCTTTCACAAACTATCTTTAGAATTTTTGCACAATCATGTGACCCATTCATGAACATACAAATACCATTCAACACAGTTTGTAAAAAAAAAAACAAATCATTTGATACATTGCAAATTTAAAAATTATCTGCTATTTGCAGTATTTTCAATTACAAAAAATGATTTTATAGAATAGCAACAAGTTACAAAAGTCTGATGTGTGTTGCCATTTTTGTATTTAAAGTTTCCATATGGATATCAACTGTGATGGATTGGCAGTGTATTAGACAGTTTGCATTCTCAGATAAGTGGTCAAATTACAAGTTTTTTACAAGCTACTAGTTGTAAGCAATTTTGGTTGCATCAAATTATTCATATAAATACTTTTAGATTATTACTGATTATAAAGAAAAATTCATTGCATAAAATCTGTTGTAATAAGTTGCACTTGTGTTACAGGCATTTTATTAACAAATATACAAACTAATACTTTTTTCAACAAATTCTTCTCTGATTATTAACACTGCACTTAGTTTTAATAAAAATTTCTTGCATAATTTTTGACTCAAAATTAATTGAAACTTGTAATCACTTTGATTTGGCTAATTGACTTTATTGATGACACTGATATGGTAATTATGGAAAAGACAAAATGTGAAAAGAATTAAGATATTGATGTGGATAAAGACTTGTGTTAAAACTTTCAAATTTCTATTACAAAATGCATATACATTGCTGGTTATCATTTTTTTCCAACTTCTAATTAAAGTCTACATTTTTTCAACTGCAGTTCTATCAATTGAAGGAGGATACCTTGTAGACATGGGCATACCTGGTGAGAGGTTGGATGGATCAGTACACCCAAATTTTAGTGTGAAGCTGTTAGACATATCTAATTTTAAGTTACATTTTGTGACATTGTTTTGAAGTTAGATTTAAATACCATCAATTAACATTCTATCATCAATTGATGCAAATGATAGTAGAGACCAGAGTCAGTTCTGATAGGTGTGCGGTGCATGCATACACACAGGCAGCCAATAGTGCACTTTATATTAAAATAATAATAATAAATTATATTTGAATTTGATATTTTAGTGGTCGGCAATAAAACAGATTATATTATCAGTTGTCGTGTGAACATCAAAGTTAATATAGCTGTGAAATTAATGGATATAAGTAACACTGAAGCATATTAAGTGTTTTGCATCAGAAAACATAAAAGTGCAAGCAACAGGTGATGGGGGATTTATATGTGAACCAGAGAAACATTTATCAGTGGGAATTTCATAACCACTATGAGTGTTTGTTTTAAATCACAAAAACTTGTAGTTAAAACTTTTAAAGTTTGCATATTCCAAGCTTTATTTACGTTAAATGTCTTTTGATTAAGATTACACCTACATAATTCATTGCGAATGGTTTTATGCTTATGCTTAATTTTCATGAATGTACGGGAATAAAGGCCCATTCACAATCATAAGATGATACTTACATCATTGTTTTAATTGTTGATGGAACCAAAAGGAAATTTAAATAAAGATGTGCATGGACATATTAATTTAAATATTCACATTTAAATTAATTTTTATACACACACACACATATCGTATTTACTCGCGTATAAGATGATCTCACATACAGGACGAGGTGTGACTTTAAAGATCAAAGTAAAGAAAATTAGATTTGTTAATACAGTTCTAATTTTATTTCATTTAATCACAAATGTATGTAAATGCACACATTGTCCTGCAAAAATTACTGACATTTTAAACATTAAGGAAAAATCTTATAAAATCAACAACATAATTTGTTCACGTAAAGCTGGACAATCGGGAAACCCTTTTTGCCAATTCTTAACAGTCAAATCCATTCTCCGTCAATTACACTTATGATTATTTGGAAATCAGAATTCAGAGAAACTCATCTGTTTTCACTTGGGAACGGATTAAAACTTATATTGGGCTCCCATGTGATTTTGTAATTTCAATTTGGAATTCAATTCAAGAGCGTTGTTAATGTAGAATGTATGGTTGCTGTATGTTCAAATTTCGTGTGTAGCATCCTTGTAATCCAAAACATGATTCTTAGTAGATGACCAAACAGCAATTAGTTAGGAAAACATTACCCTATATACTAGTTAGCAAAACATCTCTTATTAGTTTATACCATTGGGGATGTATTGACATGCCTTCTGAAATATTAATTAGGTTATCTTTAGGGTGTTTTTTGATTTCAATGTGTTCTTTAAATTTCCTTTTATATGGGTCTTTTTTAAATGTAACACTTTTATATTGTTTTTATTAATTTGAAAATTATTTTCACTTGTGTGATTGTACCAGGGAAAAGTGTTATGTTTTAGACAGATGGCAGCTTCATGTTCTTTAATTCTTGTTTCTAGTAACTGGCCTGTTTCGTTGACGTAAGTTTTTGGATTATGACAGTTGCATTCAAGTTTGTAAACTGTTCCTAGTTTTAAGAATGTTTAATGTTATAATGTATACAATGAGATATTTTGTTGGTCAAAGATGGTACCAAACTGATATTGTCTGTTTTAAGGATCTTATTACAGCCCTCGAAAATGTTTTTTATATATGGGAAGGTTTTGTATTTGTTGTTTAAGTTGTATTTTGTATTAAATCTGTTTTCCCAGTATTGTTTTTGCCATGTGTTTAATTTCAATTTAGGATAGTCGTTAAGTAAAAATTTAGTTTCTAACTCCTTTATTTTAATTTTTTGCCATTTATTATCTGATATTCTTGTATATATGTTTTTTAACTCCATGATATAAATATTCTTTATATATTCTGGAACATATGAATAGCAGTTGATAGTTTTATTAACATTACATTGTTTTTTGTATGTTATGAAAGAATAATTATTAAGTGCATTCATGATTGTTATGTCAAGGTAATTTATTTTATTATTATTTTCTTTTTCTATATCGAATTGAATATTTTCGTTAATTTTGTTAGTGGTGTTAAGATTATTATTATTATCGTTTGTTATTTTATTATTGTATATTAGTAAGTAATCTTCTGCATATCTCATTACTAGTTTTATGCCTGGGATATTATTTATTTTTTCATCTATGTTTTTCATAGCTAATTTTGGTCCCATCTTTGATCCCATACTGACGCCATCTACCTGTCTATAGAAGTCTGCATAAACTTTAATTAATCTGATACATTTTGCATATACAAAAAACTATTTTAAAGTTTTATCTACATTTAACATAGATTTGTAGATAAAATTTTGGAAGTGTTATACAATATTTTGGTGTGTAGCATCCATGAATTAAACCACATGCACAAATGCCTGTAATCTGGCTGCTTTACATGATTCAAATATTTTCACTGTGGAAGCTATCTTATATTTGACAATACAGAGCTTTCATTGGTAATATGCATATACCAGACATGGGCAAATGTGGCTCTTTTTGAGTTAAATACGGCTCTTGCAGAAGTGTTAATTTCTGCTTATTATTATTTTTACAATTTTATTTCCACAATTTTGTGAAAATATGTTTATTAAAAAAATTCAATATTTGTTTTATATCATATAATAAAATTGCAGTACAGAATATGGCTCCCATGCATTTTGCAAAACCTATATTTCAGCTTCCACTGAACTCTTCCTTGCCCACCCCTGGCATATACGAATTTATAATAAAATACATAGTGTGGTTATAATAAAATAATCACACAATATAATATTTATATTTTACAAAATACAAGGGAAGCAGTGCTTCCACGCTACTGGTCCAGGTGCTGTTTGTGATAAGGAGAAACAATGAAATTCCTGTGTAGTTGTTTTTAGAGCTTGATTTTTTTTTTATTATAAGAAGTATATGTAGTTCTCCAATTTGACAGGACAACCCTCCCAAACTATAATATCGTCCCTTGAAATTATATAATATTCTAGAGTGCTATTTTTTGGTACAACTATAATATAAAATCAGCTTCAAATAATAAAAAGCATACTTTGCTTTGGAATACGGGTAACCCCCGTATAACACAGGAGTTATGTTCCAAAAAAATTGACGTGTTATGCGAATCCGTGTTATACGAAACAAAAAACTAGTGCAAAAAAGGGGGGGTTAGGTTCCAAAAATTAAAAAATGTGCTGTTAAATCCTTATTTAAATCGGATTTATTATTCATTTTTTTCATAGATAAAATACTTATTTATTATTTAAGTAAATATTTTACCAGAGGATTATTCATCCTCAACTGGTAACAGATTTTGGGTACGTTCGTTAATAGCAGTCGCTCTGCAACGGGAGTGCGCTGCTGTTTGTAGCATTTAGGAATGATAGTGCGGGTGCAGCCATCTTTCTTTCACCATCAATAGTATCGTAATGGAGGAATCTATTATTCTAAAATGATAAAAGAGGCAAAAGAAAGATCCCAATTGTAAAATTTAACTATTAAATGGATTATTGTTGAAAGAGTATTCAAAGTAGCCATGAAAACAATTAGAATGCTCACGCAGAGTTACACGGAAGTATAAAAGAACGCACCCTTTATTACATTTCATGTTGTACGGGAGTTTTATCCAATTCCCAAACAGTGTTAGAGTGAACCTGTACTATAAAACCACCATGTTATATGGGGGATATTCCCAATTTTCGAACCATGTTAGAATGAATCTGTGCTATAGAAGTGCTGTGTTATAAGGGACATTCATTTATGTATGTACAGGTATTATGTAAGACATTGGCCATAAATGAAATGTTTAGCCAACAGAAAGAGAGTAAGGGAAAGGGTAAGGGAAGGAGGGAGAGGAGATAGACAGTAGAGAAAGGTAGGATCCCTCTGAATGGTGTATATAAGATTACAGTACCCTCTATGTTGATGTTGGCATGCAGTTTTTAGGCTGCAAGGTC